GGTAAGAAAGAAATCTAAAGAAGTGGAAAAAAGCAACACCAGCAGCAAACAAAAGGCACTCATGGAGCCAGCCAGCGCAGGCAGGTGGAATCCAAGCTACACAGGGGTGCTTCACAGGGGTGACTAAGCAGGGGTGAAGAAGGGTGGGGGGTGGGAAAACCTGTATCACTGGTTACCAGTTGTTCCGTCTCCTGCTGGAAACTCTGTGAAGCTGCTTTCTCATACCCCCTGTTCGCTGATCTCCGATAGGAGTCCAAGATGGCAGATCCTTGCTGTGGTAGCTGATAGGGGACCTCTGCATGTATCTCTCCTCAGTCTCTGTTCTCCGTCAGTTTCTTATTCCATTTGGTGCTTGGCTGAGTTCTTTATCTCTTCATTTGATACTTAGGGTTTCAGGATTAATTTGTGACTCTGTTTGACTTAGTTTTTCTGATCTTTGCTGCAGAGGTACGGTGTGGTGCTTCTGATTATAGCGCCATGTAGCCCAGAAGTCTTGATCAAGATTCTCGTATAGAATCATCAAAATGTTCAGTAATGGTAGCCAGGCCCCATCCAGTTCTTCCAGTCTCACAGCAAATGAGATAGTTTTTCATGGAGGCAATTAGCCTCATATTCCATAATCTCCTCCTATTCCTGACTCTCCTTCTTCCTCTGTTGCTCCAGGTGAATAGAGGCGAATTGTGGCTTGGATGGTTGCTTGCAAGCTTTTAAGACCCCAGGCACTACACAATGAACTAGGAGGTAGAACAGAAGCACTAAACATATTATCAGGGCAATTAACTGGAATGAAACCATGTTCCTAAACTTCCAAGCCAAGTCACCAAATCCCGTGAGGTTTTTGGTTGTACATAAGCAGCCTCAGTAGCTACTTTTTTCTTTTTTGTCATTGTTGTAAGTATATCTGTCACACAACTTTTACCAATTCAGCTTTTTAAAAAATGTACAACTGTTTCACAGCAATTACAATAATCATCTGTGCAAACTTACCCTTAATCAATGCAATTTTTCCATCATCATTAATACCTCCTTTCCCCCCCTCTTAGTTATCTAGTCCTGCTATAATACCACAAGTGGATGGCTTTAACAAAAAGAAGTTAGTTTCTCACAGCTTAGGAGGCTGGAGTCTGAATTCAGAGCATCAGTTCACGGGGAAACCTTTTTCTGTCTGTCTGCTCTAGAGGAAGGTCCATGTGGATCAGGATAGCCTCTTCTCAGCCGTATCCACAGGCATATATTTCTCTGTCTCTTGGCTCCTCGACCCCTTGGCTCAGCCTCTGCCCTGTTCAGGAAAGTGTTACAAAGCTCTTTATCTGTGACAATAAGTGCCCAGAGGCACCCCACTCCACCAGGAAGCCTTCTGCCTGAAGGCACTCTATGGATCCATGGGTCGACTCCTGAGCTTTCTCACTCTGGTCTATTGGTTCTGCTGCTGCCATTTCTCTGCCAACACTTCTAGTTATCTTACACCATCTCTGGTGTTACAGCTCTCTTTTTGTGTCTCCTGGTTCTAGGAGGTTCTCAGCGCAAGCACCCCAGTTCCAAAGGACTTGTTCTACTCCTCTCCTTTTCTTGGTGCTATTGAGTTCCTTATCTCCGCTTGCTTCTCTCTCCTTTTATCTCTTGCAAGACAAAAGGTGTGAATAAAGTAAGGGCATGACTTGAACAAGGGTGGCAAGGGTGGTAATTGGGATAAGGATGGTGACTTGAGTCATACCCTCTAGTAAGGAAGTGATTCAAGATACATCTACCCCGATCCTGTCTCATTAATATAGCAGACAATTCACTCTCAAATGGGCCGTAACCACAGGCATAGAGGCTAGGATTTACAATACATCACAAAATGGAGGATAATTACATCAGATCACAAAATGGATGAGACAGACACACAATACTGACAATCATGGCCTAGCCAAGTAGACACATATTTTTCAGGGACACAATTCAATTCATAACACCACCTCCCTCTCACCCCTGATAATCACTAATAAACTTTGATCTCTACACATTTGCCTTTTCTTGTCTTTTTATATAAGTGAGGTCAGACAATATTTGTCCTTTTGTGATTGACGTATTTCACTCAGCATAATATCTTCAAGTGCCATCCATGTTGTAGAATGTATCAAGACTTCATTTTCCCTACTGGCTGTGTACAATTCCACTGTATATATGTATCACATTTTGTTTATTCCATTGTTGATTAGCATTTAGGTTGTTTCGCCTTTTGACTATTATGAATAGTGTTATAAGGAAAATATATCTGAAATAGAAGTAAAAAATATTTGTTGAATAAATACACTGGTATCTTTCTTTCAGATTTGAAAGAAATCTGAAATCTATGTGTTAAATACCATGTTTTAATTTTTTCAAGAAAAATCGATGACGAAGTTTAACGTCCATAGGTAATAGCTTCCCTTGCCTTTTCTAAGAGGCCGAGCAGGCCTCTTATGGGTAACCTTTCCAAAATAAACTTGTTTGCCTTACTGTCATTAACATTCACTTTCTCTGTGATTCTGACAGCTCTGAGGATTAAATTCTCTGCGTATCAATTCGGATGTGCTCTATCGTGTTTTAATCAAAAGAAACATCATTTTCTCTCTGCAGTGATAAGGTACAGTAGAACGCCTGCATAGTCTTTCACAAAAGTCATTTCTAAAGCGATTCCCCTTCCATGACAGCCACTTGTTTGTTATTTTTGACTTTTGAATGATAAATTAAAGGGCTACCATTTATTAGAGAAAGAGATGATAATTTTTCCTTTGGGTAGAAAAGGTCAATGGAATTTCTAAACCCAAGACTTGGAAACAGTCGATGGGCATCAGTTTAAGTACAGCAGCTGGAAGCAGAAATCTCAGCTGGCTGATTTCTTAAGAAGTCAGCAGTGAAACCAATTAATAGGCAGAGGATGAAAGACACTATTTTGATTTTTAAATAAATGTGCAGATGAGACACTGCAGATGAGAAAGAAAAAAAAAAAAATAGCATTTACTTAAGACCTATGACCTGTGCTAGTCAAGTTCACAGATCCAATCTCATCTAATTCTGTCTTAAGAGTTAGGTACTGAGATCCGTTTAATGAAGAAGAAACTGAGAACTTGATTGATGCAGCTTAGCTAAGTGATGTCTTTTGTTTTAAAGCCCTCTCCGGCCTCACAGGAAGGCCTGCACTCTTCTACCAGATGCTATTAAAGGCTAGGAGTCAGTAGTCAGGGGGGTCTGGTCATGAACTGCATTTAAAAGTCATAAAGGAATTTCAAATGTGCCTAAAAGGAAGTGAACTGGTTCTCTTCTGATTTAAATGGAAGCAGAAGAAAACCAAGGAATACTACAAGTTCTGCTTTCCAGACAGCAAGCACTGGATAAATAAAGAAGACAATCTTCAAGCAAATTCCTTCCTCCTTTGTTTCATTTCAAAGAATGAAAGAACATATACGGCCCTTTTATGGAAATGCCCATAATAGTATCTCAGCAGTAGATATTCCTCAGTATCTTTACTTTTAAAATGGGATGAATATCTTCCCTACTAGACTTGCAGCATTGTTGTTATCGCTGATGCAGAATTGAACCCAGGTTTCCGGCATGGAAGCCGAGAATTCTACTACTGAATCACCAATGCCTTCATTGTTATAATGGCTCAAGATGAGGTAAGATATTAGATGTTACAATGTATGGAAAATATAAAGCAATTTAGAAATATAAGAGATTGTATTTCTACTAATGCTGAATTTTGGCCAAGTTAAATTTTTTGTTTTTTTGATGGTAAGCAGTAATTTTATTTAGTATGAGTTGCTTTTTGCCAATAAAACATTTGCAACAAAAATGATCAGCTGGTCTCAAGTAACCTAGCTATTACATATGCTAATATTTCCCATGAAATGGAAGACTGCAATAAAACTATTCCAAGTCTCAAATTTCCACATTTCTATATTTTGGGCACAATTATTAAGGGGAATAGTGCTATAGCAAAAGACAGGTTTTCACTCACTCTACTTCAGCCTACTATACTAAGTTTTACTATTAAAATTCTTAACTTTTATTTCTGAAGGCTGAAAATTTGCTCCCAAAAATTCCTTATTTAGTGTAGCTTTGGCCAGTAATAAGAACAACATTTTGCTTACAAAATTGAAGGCTTTCTACAACACTTTTAAATTTTGTTTTTCCACCAGATCTTATCTTTCAGAAATACTCATTTATTTCCCCTCTCATGAGAGGGATGACTACCTTTCTGCATCATGAAGGTAATAATCTAATTCCTATTTCTCTCAAATTCTCCCCCTCTGGAGACTCAGTCAAAATGAATAATAAATTCACTGGTAAGTCTGCAATTCAGATTTCACGAAAGCATGCAAATTCTTCCACAAGCAAAGTGTCAGTGTTGTGAATTTGATTTTCTAAATTTCATAATCCTTGATAAATGGAGGCACCGTACAGTCAGTTTACACTTTTATATAGGATTTCAGAGCATACAGCAAATAGCTTGAGATAAGCCATATTAAGTAGCTTAGTCCTTTTTATAATTAAAAAAACTACAAATATCAGAATATTTTTAAGTATTTTTGTTGTCAGACTAATAAATAACAAGTCTTAAAATATCTGTAGATGTAAATCGTTAACCCTCCCAGCTCACTGTGCCTCCCCTGGACTGTTCTACAGCACAGATCAACAAGCTGAACAGACTTCTCGGTCTAATATAGTTGCTGCAAGGCTTTCACAAATTCCAATTCTGTAATGTAGGGTTTCTTTCATATTTATTTTAAAATATACAAATAGATTAAACTATTAATATAAATATTTTCTCTCAAATATGTTATATTCTTTTGTAAAAGAAAAGGCTTCCAAACATTTACAAAGCAATCTAAAGGTAAGTAAACTTGATTTCAGGATTATTACATTAACCAAAGGAACTTCTCAGACGCTCCTATTTAAAAGTAATGCTCCCTGGCTTCTTCACATCAACACTTCACGATGGATCCAAATCCAATGTCTTTACTTGATTGACTTCAGGGATCACTGCCAGTGATAAAAGTACCTCAGAAAAAGGTCTCAGGACAGAGCGGACAAGTGGATTTGTTGCTCGACGTAAACCATTTGTACAAACAGGCTGAATGGAACTTTTTCTTGCAGGTTCTACAGGCTTTTTTTGGGAAGAGAATAGTTGAAATCATGAGTGACTGAGAAACAGATCATGCAGTCTTCAACACCCTCAAAATGTTTATCGACATTATTTTTCCATAACGCTAAGCCTTCCATAATACTTCCATTCTGATGGGTGAGGTAAGCGCTTAACTGCAGCATCCAGTTCCGCCACTGCTGCACAGCACGCCCACTCTGTTCCCACTTTGCACCGTTATGGAACCCAGAGGGTAATCGGAAGGCAGCTGTGGAGTTCAATGACTATGTCCTCAATAGTATAAGTAGCCATTACTTCACGAGTGGTAGCTCGAGCTTTAACCATCATGCCATTAAACAGCTGCGTACTTGTTTGCACAGAAGATATTTCTTGAAAAGAAAGCACGTTGCTGACATATTTGCTTGTGAATCTATCTACAATATTGAAAATACGCTTCTCACTGCTATTCCACCACAGCCTAACCACAGCGGGCAAGTCTTTTAAAGTCATATGATAGACTGAACAAGCCAAGTGTGGAATCTGGTATGGAAGAGTTGCTGTTTCTCTAATACTCAAACGGAGCTCCTCAGTAAAGAATGTCTTAGGGTCCTTATTTGAGAACTCGAGAACGGACTCTCCAGACGCTGGATTTTCTGGCATCAGCCTGAACAGGTGATAGAGCAGTTTATTCAAACTCTTTGTTTCCCGAAGGTACATCGAATATAGAGCCCGAAGCTGAGATGAAGCAGCTTTGAAGAAAGTAAGCATTAATTTCCCCGTGAGGAGGTATCCCAGAACGTAACAGAAGTCCTCACTCAGTGGCTTAATGGTTACTATCGGTCCAACGGAAATACACCCCAAAACATTCTCTAGTAAGTCCTCTTGAGTACTAAGAAGAGACATCAGCACTGCCAGCGGTGACAGGGCTGGCTCTTCTTCCTCGTCTCTGTACGACTTCAGATTATCCTGACCATACTGTGGTAATTCAGGCATCAATTTGTAGAGCATGTAATATGCAATGATTTGCACAGGTCTTGCTCAGAAGAGGAGCAGTAGGGCCAACGTATCTAGCGAAGTCTGGAGATGTTCCGGGAAGTTTCTTTTCTGGCTGGCAACAGATCTCCCAGGGAGTTTATGACTCAACAGCTGATCCTTTGAGATATATGTTAATGTCTCACACATGGGCTTCAGCAGTGCATTTCTGAAAGGATGTTTCAGACGGATCTTTGCTTTCATCAATATAGTACAGATCATCCTTAGGCCGGGCCAAAAGTACAGGTATACATTCAGCAATTAATTTTTTCTTTTCTTCTTTTAACAAAAATGGACAGAGACTCTGAATGGTATGCAAATTACCTTCTGTTAGTGGAAAAAAACTGTCTTCTGAATTCCTATAATGAAGTTTTACGTCCTCAGATGTAATGCTTCAAGAGAAGACCAACTTAATGATGAAAAGAGACCAAAGGGTGCCATTTGCTTCGGATCTGCTAAATATCAGTCTCAGAAAGCCAGAAGTATCACCAAGTGCACACAAGTTATCACACATGACATTCATTCTCTGAAGCGTTTCACAGAACTCGGTCAGAAAAGCAGGCGGCTTGTCTAGTTCTTCACACCACTGCAGGGAATAAAGCAGCTCTGCAATTATTTTCACAAGCTCATTGTTTTCTAGGACTACTTCCTTTTTCAGTGCAACTAACATCATTTTGCTCAGTAAAGCTCAAGTACACAAATGGCTGGGAACGGTCTTTATATCTTCTTCCTTATATTCTGTTTGGAAACACTCATGATTCAAACTCAATCTTCCTTCTAAAATAGGCCTGTGCAACCACTGCATAGGAAGGGACTGTCTCATCTGCCCCCATTCACTGTCATTTGGCATAACACTTCCAATACAAACCCCCAGAAGGTCAGCATCTTTACTCTCGAGCAGCTTATTCAGGAAATCATCAACAGCAGACAAGAGGACCTGGAGACTTCCGACATCCAAAGACGAAGACTGAACTTGGTTCTTGAGCCAAACAGCAGACAGATGTAGGAAGGAACTCTGTTTATATGTATTGTCAACTTGATGGACCAAGAAATTTACACCAGACAGCCAGGTGTTTTTCAGTTTACAGATAAGAGAATCTGGTAAATGTGTTCTTTCTTTGCTCTGAGCACACAACTGAAAGAGAGTTAATAACAAATCCTCAGACGACGGCATAAGCAAACGTCCTTTCGCTGAGCTGAAGTAATTATAGGCCACATCACAGACATGAGACACTGGTGAGCGGCTATTTTCAGCTTCTGACAGTGTCTTTGTTTTGGATAAAGTTTCATGAAGTTTAACAATAATTCTTTCAACATATACTTCTCCAATCAAGTAATCATTTTCGATATGCTGGGATAATACCAAGCTTAGAAAGGTCCATCTTTCTGAGAAGTAAGATTCTGAAGATACTGTGGATTCCAAGCCCATATTACACAGGTGATCTGCAAAGTTTACCAGTTTCTCTCCAAGGATATCTCCTTTTAGCCAAAGACTTACTAAAGCATGTTTATCTGAACTAGAACATGCCTTTTCAATAACCTGAAGAAGAGAATCCCATTTCAGCTCCACCTCAGTTAAATCAACCAAGACATCTTTCCTTTCCATATTACTGTCACAGCAGCAGAGGACACTGTATAAAATGTCCATGAGGAAACCAGCATCCTGCTTCTGATCTTCATTTAGCCAACCGAGTAGCTTCCGGTATAAAAACTGCACAGCAGGATTTTCCTGTGCAAGTTTATTAGCTATTACCTTTGCCGATACTCTCTTTCTCATCATCTAGTAGCACTTTAAACACCTGGCTGGAAGAGAAGGTGCTGAGCAGAGTGGAAAGAAACTTTAGGTGTTGCTCTGATGTTTGTTCAGTGAAGTAATTAATGCTCATCTTTGCTAGTTTGCAGACTAAGTCTTCCAAAGGTTTTTTCCTTAGAGGAGATACGAGGTCTGAAAGATCCTGAGTGAGAGGTTCGGTAACTAATTCAGAGCCTTCGCTGTTCTCTCCTTCTGAAGATACACCTTTTTCATTCTTTTTATCACTTTCAGAGATCTCATCAGCAAATCTAACCTTACCAACGTTTTTCTTGTTGGACTTCAATGTACTCTTCAGCTTCTGGAGAACCTGTAACAGGTTAGATACACCCAGAACAAACTTATCAGCAGCTTTTGGCTCATTAATTTTCTCTATGCAGACCTCTGACAGTCTCTCCCAGAAATTTAACAGCACTTTCCCCAAGTTGTGAGCCATTTTATCACCCTTTCCATATCTGCCTTGCTTTCCCAGGAACTTAAAGTTTCGGCTAAATGGTGAAATAGCTGCCCGTTTTGCAATCTTGGCTCTTTGAGAACTGCATCGACAAAAGGGATCAACTGATCGTTGACGAGCATCTGTTTCATCTCTTCCTCACCTAAGTTCTGCGGCGTTATAAAATGCAGGCACTCAAAAAAAGCAGCTACTACAGCTGAGCACTCTGAAAAGCTGGCTTTGATTCTCTCTGTTGACAGCCCCGTAACTAGAGAGGTGAGGAAATTTTTGAAGTCCAACTTTGGATCTGTAATGGACTGAGGGAGTTTGCTGATAAATGGCAGAACGTAAGGATATATAACAGTGGCCAGGCCCTGAACACCTTCACGAACTACAACTGACAGCTTGGGAAACACACTTTTCTTTGCATTTACATGAGTCCAACAGTCCTCGATAGTAGTAAGCATATAAAGGACAGCTTCCCAGAGAGCTGGGCGTACAACAGGGTCACTATCATCAATGCTAAGCAGAACATATGGGCTCACTTTGGATGCTTCATCTTTCATCAACCGTGGAATTCGCTGGCACAAAGCAGAAACTAATTCAAAATAAGCTGAGCGGATCTGAGTTATACTGTGTTTTCCATACTTCCAAAACTTATTGTGTGATAAAAGAAACTTAAATTTCTCCTCCAGAGAATCAAGTTCGTTATCAGGCAAGAGGCAAAGCAATTCCTTTAAGGCCAATAAGGAACAAGCTATAAATCGATAGAATTTAGCTTCTCTTTCTTCCCCTGGAACAGTTTGGGGGGTCACTGAGCGTGTCAGGTGTTTCTTTTAAAAGATGATTGTGAAGCACCTGTTGAGACTGAGGCAGCTCAGCTTCTGTGTCCCTTGTCTCTTCAGCGTCTGCTTCTGTTTCCTGTGGCCTCTTGGCCCTCGGGCCTCATGTTGGCTTCTGCCCTGCTGGGGCAAGTGTTCCAAAGCTCTGTAGCTCCACTGGTGTAAGTGCCCGGAGGCACCCCACTCCACCAGAACGCCTCCTGCTCACAGGCACTCAGCTCTCTCGCCCCGTGGGTCGGCTCCAGCGCCATCTCGCACTGGTCTCCTTGTTCTGCTGCTGTAGGTTCTCTGCTGCTGTTGGTCCTCTGTTACTGCCGTACGTCTATCCATTCTCAGTTTTAAAACCGCTTCCACATTTTAGGTATCTGTTAGAGCAGTACCCCACTCTCGGTACCAAATTCTTTCTTAGTCATCTAGTGCTGCTATAACAGAAATACCACAAGTGAATGGTTTTAATGAAGAAAAGTTTATTTCCTCATAGTCAAAGTAGGCTAAAAGTCCAAATTCAGGGCGTCACCTCCAGGGGAAGGCTTTTTCTCTCTTCGGTATTTCCCCAGACTAGGAGCTTCTCGGCGCAGGGACCCCAGTCCAAAGGACACACTCTGCTCTCGGCACTGCTTTCTTGGTGGTATGAGGTCCCGGCCCAGTTAAATTTTTAACAAAGAAAATGTTATGGTTGTCATATTTCAGGTTCCTATATTCACAGTAGGAAATTGAGAAAGGTACTTAGTTGGGATTGAGACATTACCCTTCATGCCCTGAGTCCTATAATTTTGTAAGAAGCCCACAGAGTGTGGGAATGGACAAGCTGCCAAATGATCCTATGACGAGTTACTACTCATTTGATTGACTGTGTAATTCATTAGCCAGAGCTAGAGTGCCAAAAATAATGCAATCCTCCTTTGGTCCCTAAAGTGTTTCTCATTTTCAGGGGATTCTTGTATCTGTTGAACCGTCCCTGAATGTTCATTAATGTCATTGTGAGGTAAATGTCAGCTTGAAACGAAAGGTGACCTAAATGCCATGGCGCCCTAGGAGTATTAAAATAGTGTTCATGAATTAATGAGCCTAATGGGCACTCATTCCTTATGCTGAACAAGTTGCAGCTTCTCACACTGCCCTCACCTTCAGGCTTAGGAAATCCGGACTTTCCTCAGCCACCAGGTCACAGTGTGTAAGAGAGTGCCATTTGGTAATGACTTACAAAATGAGTTGGCATTATTATTTTAAATGTTAATCATGCACATCAAAAGCGCTTGGACCGCTTCCCAAAATAATATAATTCTAGCCCAATGGGAGGCAGTGCTGTGTCAGAGAAAAAGCTCAGAAATAAGAATCAAGATACTGAGCTGCTTGTGTCGTCTTTGGCACTGAATAATTGTGCAAACTCAGAACATGCAATTGAAGTCCTCAACAGGTTTCTCAACTTCTAGTCCCCCCTCAAAATCCTGTGTATCATTTCTATAATTTAACATATTAACCTTCTTAAAAATATAATGGAAAAACAGTATTTAAAAGGAAAAGCAAGGTTTGTCCCCAAATTTTCTCTATCCATTGCCACCAGGATACCAGAATGAGAACTATCCACTTCCACCAGGATGACCCCAAAGTTATCTATCTCTAAATAATGTGCTTATAACCTATGAGTCATCAGTTTTACACACTATAAATTAAAGTTCTGTGAAGATAGTGGCAAATTTACCTTAACTACGTAGTACCCTTCCCCTTTAGGAATCGTTGGGTATTGCAAAAGGTTAACAGGATCTGCTGCTAAGCAGAAGGCTGGAGGTTCCAGGTCAACCAGAGGCATCTATGGAAGAAAGACTGGGCTATCTACTTCCAAAGAAATTAGCCATTGAAAACCCTATGGAATACAGTTCTACTCTGAGACACATGGGGTCACTGTGAATTGAAACTGACTTGACGGCAACTGATTTTTTTTCCTACCCTTTAATCTCCTAATATTTGAAAGTAAATCCCAATTTTTAGTTCTACTTTAGTTGAATATGTGAATTTGAATAGTATATTTTAACTTCAGTTTTGTATACCTTAAACTTTCAATGGTGTCATTTGATTTTAGAATCTGTAAACTGAGACTATTTGCTGGCCCTTTGTTTCTGTGGGTCTCCTTTTGCTACTTCTCTAACCCCGGTGTTTCTCAGTGGTGCCTTAACTTACACATCATTAAGAAAATGCCCAAAGTTCACATTTAGCCCCATAGCTGTAATAAAGTCACCCATGGTTGGTCTACAGATTTATTCAGAAAGTTATAACCTGATAAACTAATTTTATGTTATTTTGACTGTGCAAGTATTCTTCAATGCAAAGCTGTGTTGTTGTGGAAGTAACATAGTCTGTTTTTCTTCTCTCAAAACTTTCAGAATTTTCTCTTTACCTACGTGTTCTGAAATTTTATAAAGATCATGACTAGGTGTTGGTTTTCTTTAAAATCAATCATGTTAAAATTGACGAGAACAGGACACAGCAAGTTAGGCTCCCATTTAACAATTTCTGCACAAATTATTCAGTGACATTAGTTATATTTTTCACAAGGTGTCAGCATTCTCATTAATAGTGTTCTGGTTGTTCCAGTTCTAGTACTGTAGTTTCCCTGCCCCCTTATCTTCTCATCTTTGTTTTAGAGCAAATGTTGACCTTTAGGTCTCATACAAATTTTTTTTTAGTAGAGCACCTATCTTATGGATAATATCCATTGTTTCATATGCCACTCTGCTATTTCTCTAAAACGAGATCCTAGGGAATAGTTTTGGTTCAAGGTTTAAAGACTTCTCAGAGGGATATTCTCAGGGAGTCTTCTGGTCTCAAACTGGTCCAGTTAGTCTGGATTTTTTTTAAGAATTTGGGGATTTTTTCCTACATTTTTCTTCCATTCTGTAAGGGACCATGTATTGTGTTCTTGGTCAGAACAGTCGGTGGTGGTAGCCAGGTATCATCTAGTTCTTCTGGTCTCAGAGTAAATGAGGTCATGGTTCTTGTAGGCTATCAGACTTATAGACTTGTTTCTTCTCTGAGATTTTGGTTACCTTCTCACTCTTTCACTCTTGCCAAGTAGAGTTATATCTTAGATGGTCATTCACAAGCTTTTAAGACCCCAGACGCTACTCAATTTCACTAGGATGTGGAACCTGGACTTTGTGAACTATATAATGCCAATTGGCCGAGTTGTCCCATGAGACTATGGCTTAAGCCTTAAAACTTAGAAAACCAATCTCAGAAGGTTTTTAGTTATGTCTGAGGAGCGTCTTTCGCTGTGTCTTCAATGAATGCATGTGCCTGCACACATATATCCATATTTATTTACATGTGCATATAGATACTTCTATCTGTTCTCACATATATATATACCTGTGCCTACCCTTATACCTATATGCCCGTACCCATCCATATGTGATCATACACTCATTTTTTGGTCTATGTTAGAATTTTTGCCATCTTATAAATGCCAAAATCTTTAGTACCAGCATCCTTTTTTATTCAGCATTTCTCAGCAACATCATTTACTTTTGTCATGCTGTACTCACTATACCCACCCACATTTGGTCCCACTTTTTTAATCAACAAAAATAACGGGTATCTATGATCAAAAGTATGCTTCCCCCTTCCTCCCTCCTCTTCTTGGTAACCACTAATGAACATTGGTCCCTTTATATATATATATATATATATATATATATATATATATATATTCTTGTCTTTTTATAAGAGATGGATCATATAATGGTTGTCCTTATGTGCTTGACTTATTTCATGCAACATTATGTCCTCCAGGTCCATCCATATTATAATATGTTTAGTGGACTCATCATTGTTCTTTATGGTTGCTTGGTATTCCATTCTATGTATGTGCTACATTTTGCATATCCATTCATCCATTGATGGACACTTCTGTTATTTCCATTTTTTTGCTATTGTGAATAAAGCTGTAATGGACGTAAGTGTGTATATGTATGTTTGTATCACTACTTTTAGGTCTCTAGGGTATATACCTAGGAATGGGATTGCTGGATCATAGGGTAGTTCTATTTCTAGTGTTTTGAGGATGGTCCAGCTGTTTTCCATACTGATTGTACCATTTTACAGTCCCACCAACAATGGATAAGGGTTCCAGTCTTCCCAAATCCTTACCAACTTTGTTGTCATCTGTTATTTTATTTATTTATGTATTTATATCAGTGCCATTTTAGCTTGGGTAAGATGTTATCACATTGTACTTTTGATACAATCTTGCTTGCTGAAAGTGAAGAGTACTTGAAGCACTTACTGATGAAGATCAAAGACCACAGCCTTCAGTATGAATTATACCTCAACATAAAGTAAACAAAATTCCTCACAACTGGACCAAAAAGCAACATCAGGATAAGCGAAGAAAAGATTGAAGTTGTCAAGGATTTCATTTTACTTGTATCCACCATCAATGCCTATGGAAGCAGCAGTCAAAAAATCAAAGTATTGCATTGAGCAAATCTGCTGCAAGAGACCTCTTTAAAGTATTAAAAAAACAAAGATGTCACCTTGAGGACTAAGGTGTGCGTAACCCAAGCCATGGTATTTTCAGTCACCTCATAAGCACGTGAAAGCTGGACAATGAATAAGAAAGACCAAAGAAGAATTGATGCCTTTGAATTATGGTGTTGGTAAAGAATATTGTATATACCATGGATTTCCAGAAGAATGCACAAATCCACCTTGGAATAAATAGAACCAGAATGCTCCTCAGAAGCAAGGATGGCAAGACTTTGTCTCATGTACTTTGGACATGTTATCAGGAGGGACCATTCCCTAGAGAAGGACATCATTCTTGATAAACTAGAAGATCAGCAAAAAAGAGGAAGACCCACAACAAGATAGAGTGACACAGTGACTGCAACAATAGGCTCAAATATAGCAACGATTGTGAGGATGGCACAATGTTTCGTTCTGTTGTATATAGGTCTCTATGAGTCTGAACTGACTCGATGATAGCTAACAACAACAATGGCATTTTTTCATGAGTTTGTTGGCAACTTAGATGTTCTCATTGATGAAGGGTCTGTTCATGCACTTTGCCCATTTTATAATTGTGTTTTTTGTCTTTTAGTTGTTAGTTGTTGAAGTTTTCTATAAATTCTAGAGATTAGACTCTTACCGGATATGGCACTTCTGAAGATTTTTTCCCAGTCTGCAGGTTGTCTTTTTAGTCTTTGAAAAAAGATTTTGATGAACATAAGTTTTTAATTTTTAGGAGATCACATTTATCTATTTTGTCTTGTTCTATCGGTGCATTTGTTATTATGTTATATATG